AAGTGAGGAGTACTTTCAAGAAGATTAATCCTCATAAAGCAACTGGTCCAGACAACATCCCTGGGAAGGTGCTAAAAGACTGTGCCGATCAGATCTGTGAGGTACTGGCCGACATCTTTAACTCCTCACTCATCCTGGCAACAGTTCCCACCTGCCTGAAGACAGCCACCATCATCCCAGTCCCGAAGAGCTCTACAGTGATTGGTCTGAATGACTATTGGCCATTAGCCCTCACCCCAATAGTCGCTAAATGCTTCGAAAAACTGGTCATGACCCACATTAAAACAACTATCAACATCAACGAGGACTCTCACTAGCACGCATACCACGAGAATCGATTAACAGAAGATGCCATCTCCTGTGTGGTCCACACTGCTCTCATCCAATTGGAGCTGAAGGACTCCTATGTCTATATGCTCTTTGTGGACTTCACATCTGCCTTCAACACCATGATCCAGATCCTGATGGACAAACTACTCACACTAGGACTAAGACCCTGCATTTGCAACTGGGTCCTGTATTTCACCACAGTCTGTGAAGATCCACAACTTCTCCTCCTCCATGTAGTGAACCAGATAACCTCAAATCTACCAGATGGACAGAGACTGTTATTTTCATTGATCTGAATAAGTCTGAACCATCTGATGACTTTCTTTCTTGAATTAATCAAGCAGAAAAGACAATTCTTTATAATCATTACTGTCTTACAAATGTTTTGATAATCAAATTGTGTTAGTTCACTCAATGCTTTACAGGTTGAAAAGAACTACTAATTTTATTTTACATAAACAGTAAGTAATGATTTTTGTTCCTCATTCAAAGCAGAAATCACCTGAATATGCCTTTCTTGATTTTTCTGTCTGAAATGAGCAAGCTGTCGTAAGTATGTGAAAGGTTGGTCTTCGGTCAACTAAAATGTTTACTGAAGAAGAAATGTCATGTTTAAACTTTTTCAGAAGATTACTAAGAGTAGACTCCAAAAAGTCTGCTGCTTCTGCAATAATCTTTTCTGTATGTTAAACAAGTTTCATTCTCTGACCTCGACTGTTGATAAACACCTTACGTCAAAAACCACTCCTCTTTCTGGTCCTTCCACGAATCAGAAAGCTCTAAATTGAACAGGAAGTCGACCCAAATAAAATGTGGCAACTCCCCAGTTCAAGTTAGATTGAGAGTTCTGAGAGATGTTGGATTGGGAGCTGACAACAGGTCCGATAGTCCAACAGAATGAGCAGATTGAGAGTGCAGCCGGTTCTGAAAGTTTCAGAGCAATGAAGAATCCAGAGGTTTTGGGATTATAATTCTGTTTTGAGCTAATCAACGCACGACTTTCTGAAGGTTTGGTAGCTCTCGACGGAGACGCTGAAACGAGTCAGAAAGGAACTACATCCAACGCTGATCCATCGTCAACAGGTAGATGGTTCTATTTTGACCAAGTGTACCGTGAGAAGCTGAGATCGGACGGAGCGTGCAACTTCTGGTTAAACAGATTAAATCTCCCTCACATATTCCTCTGTAAGATAAATCTCAATTTACTCTTAAACTCACCTCTCTCTCATAAAACAGTACAGATATTTTTAGAAATGTCTGAAGCAAAGTCCTCAAATCACCGCCGAGTGATTTGAAGTTCATTTTCTGTGAAACTGTCTGTTATTATTTTCATATTTTGCCAAATTAATGTAAATGTTTGATGTTAAACTTTGATTTTGAAAATAAATGATTCCATTCATTTGATGGGTCAAAGATAAATAACGTCTCTCGTTCACATTTCTGTTAAATTCAATGCACGGCATTTACAGTCAGAAAAATGAAGAACTCGTGAATATTGTATGCATATATAATTCATATATTTGTCATACAACAAGTGACACGTACCTCACGTGTATCACTACATCCACTATAACACTCAGCACTGGCTCCCCTCAGGGCTGTGTGCTGAGCCCTCTCCTGTTCACTCTGCTCATGCATGACTGTGCACCTACTCAGACATCCAGCCTGTCATATTGTAAAGTTTGCAGACGATACAGCAGTGGTGGGATGAATCACAAACAACGATGAGACCAGCTACAGGCAGGAGGTGGAAAACTTGGAGAGCTTGTGCAGGAAGAACCACCTTCACATCAATGTGAAGAAAACGAAGGAGATGGTCGTGGACTTCAGATGGAACAAACACACCTACACCCGCCCCCACCCACCCCACCCCCGAATACAGGAGGATCTGTGGTGGAAGTGGTCTCCAGCTACAAGTACTTGGGTGTACACATGAAAAACAACCTCAGCTGGGGCAACAACACCACCAGACTGATCAAGAAAGCTCATCAGAGACTCTACTTCCTCAGGCGGCTGAGACGAGCAGGACTGGGAAGCTCAGTCCTCACCTCCTTCTACAGGTGTGAAGTGGAGAGCATCCTGTGCTCCAGCATCAACGTGTGGCATGGAGGCTGCACAGCTGCAGAAAGAAAAGCTTTGCAGAGAGTAGTGAAGGCTGCACAGAAGTCTGGTGGAGTCAGCCTCCCCACCATCACAGACATCTACACCAGTGGTGTAGCGATATGCGGGCATACTGAGTATACCCAATCGAAAAGCTTTAGAATTTCAGTATACCCACTTAAAAGTGCCCAATGATACATGGCATATCATTAGGCATGAGTCATTGATATGTTAAATGACAGGTAAATGCTTCCTTAACAATCTATCTGTATGCAGCGCTCGCTTGTTTATTACATTAGCTTATCTAACAAATTATTGTATAATTCTGTACTTACTACTTAATACTTGAACATGTTTTGCTTTGATATTGTTTTATAAATTCTATAACATGTTTTTAATACAAAGCCAACTGTTTTACAAAGTTTGTCGTACATTTATTCAAATAGAAGCATCAGAGAAATTTGGAAATGTTCAATACATTTAAAAATCAAAATAAATTGACAATTACATTGTACTAACCGGTGTACTTTGGTTTTTAAGCACAGCATACCCACTACAAAATGTAGACTACACCACTGATCTACACTTCCAGATGCAGGAAGATGGCCACCTGCATCATGAAGGACCCCACTCACCCAGCACACACACTTTTTGCCTCACTCCCCTCAGGCAGGAGGTTGAGGAGCGTTAAGTGTAGAACCACTAGACTGAGGAACAGCTTCTTCCATGACGCTGTTAGACTCATGAATCTCTAATCAGGATAACTACTATGAAAAAAATCACATCATGAAGCTGCTGATTTATTTCATGCTGCTGTGTTCATTTGTACTCATCTATTCACACAGACTCATGTTTGTACTGCTGCTTGGCATTTTGTTTTTGTACTACTAGAGCTTAGTGTAGTTCTAGTTAACGTTTTTTTTATATTTTTGTTGGATGTAACTGGGACACTGCACACACAATTTAATTCCACCACATGTACCACATGTGGTGGTGCATATGACAAATAAAGATTATTGAATCCCTGAATCTAAAAAAATTGTGAAAATAATTCCCAATGCTGAGGAGTTTCAGTCCGGATTTAGAGCTCATCATAGCACAGAAACAATTCAATTCAGTTTCTTTATATAGCGCCATATTTCATGCATGTAAATCAGAGTGCGTAGTTGTGAATTATGTTTTGTAACCTTATAAAATAAAACAGCTGAAAAGTTCTGCTTTGAGCATGTGTAGATAATGTGTGTGCGTAAAAAAGATTTGTATTGTTCCCAAGCTGACTTGGGACCAGAAAGTTGCAGGTTCGATTACATGCTCACATGTCGACAAAAAAAGTTATTAGGAGTGTATTTAAACTATGAACAAAAGCATACAGCCAGGTTGGTCATTCTGCAGAACTGTGGTCAAAGTCAGAGAGTGATCCTTTTAAGGTCTCAAATGCAGTGTAAATGCAGTCAAATGCAGTCAGAAAAAAAAAAAAAAAAAATAGAACAAATTTATCTGCACACCAATGAAGGCTACAGTCTAAAGTTTCATTGTCTTTCATAGCATCTCAGCCAAAATATTATGAAAATGTATGATAAAATCTCTACCTTTTAATACCCTCAATTCATTTTTTCCCCTTCTTCTGTCAGCTGCTCCTTTCCTCAGGGCTCACCACATCGAACTAACTTGCACGAAGATTTTGTGATTGCTTTTATGTCAGATGCCCTTCCTGACATAATCATAGACACCGAGCTACCACAGCCCTCTGTGTGGAGCAGAGAGCTGCCATCTAGGCCACCCAGGGGAGCGAATGGTGGGGGTTAAGGGCCTTGCTCAAGAGTCAATAATGGGGCAACTGAGGGTGGAGGCAGGTGTTGGTATTTCACCTTTCCTACCCACATTTTGATGTTGTCCCCCAAAATAGGAGCAAAACTTTTTTTATATGCTTTTATATATTTTAAAACAATATCAAACCATAATTTGCACATGAAACAACAGCAAGACTCAGTAAGAAAAGGCTGAGTGTTTGAATGGGCTGCTTGCTGTCCAGACTTTAAAAAAGTGCAGCAAAAAAGACACTACCAAAACTAAAGAGGTCTTGAACTGGTATTTGAACTGGTAACCTTGATATTCCTAAGCAAGAACTTTCCTCCCAGGATTATACTTACTGTAGACTGCACATGGACCTACAGCGATGGTACTGTCTGAACCAACAATGAATGCATCACGATAAAACTAATTTAAAAATACACAAAAGAGACAACAAAGAACAAAAGGGACAACTCAAAACAATATAGACTGCTTGAGGAATTGCAAATATCCTCACAGAGCATTTCCTCGCAACAGAGACCACGAAATGCAAAATGGCATCAGATTCCTGGCAACAAATCACTCAAACTTTTGTTTACCGTAGCTTCTCATAGTTTAAATAATCAGTCAACCAACTTCAGCATTATTACCACCTATGAAGTTGTAGTAAAAACTGTAGAGCTGTGATTCCAGCACTGTGGTGCAGTCATCACATTAGCCTCTGTAGAATCCCAACAACTTGGGCACACACATGCATAAAAGCATGTTGACGTCCTTACCTCCAGACACTGGCGCATCCATGAACACAGCTCCCATCTTCTCCGCAGCTACAGCCATTTCTTTAGAGACGGCAGGATCAATTGTAGAGGAGTCAATTAATAGCGTCCCCTTCTTCACTTTCCTGAACAGAAGAAAAAAAAAATTTAACTCAACATCTAAAGATTAAAGTGTTTCTACTGCCCATCACTTTCTGTTTTGGACATAAAACACTTTAATTCTATATGATTGCCATTCATAAATACTGAAATACAAAAAAATGCTTACTTTAGGATGCCATTTGGGCCTGTGTAAGCCTCTATAACATTGGGATTAGATGGCAACATTGTGATAATACGGTCTGCTTTCTCGGCCACGTCTGCAGGAGAGTCCACCACCTGAATGTAAAAGTCACCAGATCAAACCATCAAGATTTGTTTATGAAGAAGATGCTATAAAATAAGTGAAGTAAAAAAATAACCATTGCTGCTAATTAATGTTTTAAACATGATCATGTAATGTATTATTAGGAAGCTCTTACATGGGCACCGAGGTCCTGCAGCTCTTTGCAAGATTCTGGAAAGACGTCAGTCGCGATGACAGGGTACCCATTTTTTAACAGGTTTTTGGCCATTGGACTGCCCATGTTTCCAAGCCCGATAAACCCCACTGGTGTCTTCGAGGCCATGGATCGTGTTGACACTGATGAGAGAAAACAAAATACATATTTAAAAATGGGACAATGGGGGACATTTTGCTTTGTTGAGGACATTCATCATTGTAATCCTAAGAGGTTTAGAACCAGTGAAGACAATGAAAGCAATATTGCTTCACTACTTAAAAACAAACATTTTTTTAAGCAAATGCCTTTGCACCAGAAATATATTACAATTATTAACAAAGCTAATCTTCATGCTTTAAAATTCAGAGTCAGTTAAACATTACTGGCTCAAAACAGCATCATCCAGTCTGATATTCCAGACAGGGTGGAAACTGGAAATGAATCAGCCAGACTGCAAAAGTAGGATTAGGCCTGGATAAGGATTCACAAACAACAAGCTTAAAGTAAATTTAGCCAACTCTGCAAAATATTCAATAAATGTGGTTACTTTCATAGATATACAGTTTGCTAGGATGCCTTAAAATGTCCTAAACAGATCTATTTTGTTAAGGTTTTAATTCCACTCATCGCGTTAGTGTTAGCTTCAGTGACAGACAGACATCTAATAGGATGAGTTTTAAAGCAATGACATAATGAATGGAATAAAACTGGTTTCTCAAACGCTTCTTTCTGGTCATACAGGCATCTCAACTACCTCAAAAACAATCCAAAAGCAAGCATAACAACATAATTTTCTTTTTTGACATCTCTTTTAATTGTAGTCTCATTAGATTGATGCAAAACATGCACCAAACTGCATTCAGTGAATTAAATAACACTTTTTTTTGCCATTCATTTATTTCAAGGAAGTTGTGTCTTTAAACATAACCTTCTTATGAAGGTGTTTAATCAACTATTGTCTGAGCAAACAGTTCTTTTTGTTTAAAATAAAGCAGCAGAATAGAGGGTTTTTATTTAGAGTAGGTAAAGAAGGAAGTGTTTTGCACATGGTGAGTGATTATTACTTTTCCCTGGACGTTATGGACCTCTCCAAAACACCAAGAATATTACTTGAAGATGATTTTTAACCTTAGTCATTAAAAAAAATACTAATTTAAAGTGGTTGAACACATCATGGGAGTTTCAACTAAGTACGAATACAGAAACATCATTCACATCTTGGTTGAGAAAAAAATAAATAAAGTTGTGTTTCCACATGTTGGACTAATGGGGAGTCCTGGATTTATCAGTCACTGTGGCAGTAATGCAATCAAGGGCTAATCAGATGGTTTGTGCAGTAAGAGCACCTATCTAAAACACAACAAATCTCATTCCAAAAGAGATAAGAGAAAAAAATCAGCTAAAATTAGCCATTGCTGCACACTTCATTTGTTACGCTCAGATCAAACTGAAGGACACGGTGTTCAGATCACAAACACTACATGGACGGGTACAACTTACACTTTATTGGAGCTAACTAGCTTGCTAACATAATACGCCGCTTGTATTTATTCCCACAAAAACATATTGCGGACGTAAAAAGCCACATAAAACAAATGACAACCCAAGCGAATACATTACCGACGGTAAAGTGCTTATTCCACCTGAGCCATACATTTCGAGAGCCTCTATACATCATCGCAGCCATGCTTCTCTCTTCTTGACCTCAGTGTACGGTGACAGCCAGGCTCAGGCAAGGAAAGCCAAGCTGGCGTGTGCTATGATTGACAGCCATTTTGACCAATGGCAGCACAGGCTGAATTAGCTAAGCCAATGAAAGTGGAGTTAAGGCGGGACATCCTGCGATTTAACCTAATGTCACTTTTTTTAGCTCACATTCTCACTGTTTTTATTCACTCTTTATGATAAAACGGTGATATAGCTAATTTTAGTCAAAAACATTTACTGTTTTATGTTTTATCTGAGAATAAGTAATTCAAAGTCACTACTTGCGTATTATTAAAAGCAGTTATTATGCAGTATTTAAGTGAAAAGTATTAAAATCAGCTATCTTTTTCAGCGTAAGATCATTTTTGTCCGACTTTTAATACATTTTAAAGTCTCAAAGACGTCTTTGTTCTCGCCGTCGTCAGTGCATCATTTGGTACTGCTCAGCATCCCGGAAGTTTAGCTTCATTTTCTCCCAGGAAGAAGATACGCATTACGGTCAGAGCTTGAGACAGTCAGTGGGATAAACATCGACTTACCAGGAGGAAATGCGCTGTTCTTTGCGAGTGGCCATGACTTGAAGGGGTAATCTTTTATTCCACGCTACATTATCACTTGTACTTATGGTTTCGAGAGGCAGCCTAAACGATAGTTAGCTAGCTAGTGTCTTGACACACCATGGCCTGTTCTATGGTAACATTAGCTCCTTTAGCCTCCTTTATAAGATGCATCTCAGGTAAACATGGCTACAAACGACAGGGGAGTAGCTTAGCTTATTTGTTGCATATTTACAATGAACGTTTGTGTGTTTAAGGTAGAATTATGACTTAGCTGTTTTCCTTTTTGTCTTACACCCCAGTGTTGAGTCATAATGATAATTCAGTCAGTGCTATGTGGGTTTGTTGTTTATGTTTGTATTGATAGTTTCAGCTGTCAGCGGTTGAAAGTCTCTGCGAAGGCACTTGTTTTTGTAAGTTTGTGAACCCTAGATCTGTTTAAATCTAACCTAAACATCTTTCTTGTGGGACTTGAACCAAAAATTGAGCATCATTTTAGAGTCACATCCATTTGCTTAGGTGTTTATGTGTTGGTGTTTTTTTTTTGTTTGTTTGTTTGTTTGTTTTGTACTTTTAGCCACAAAAAGGAGGAATAAAAGGCAATGAAAGTAGCATAACATTAATAAAGTTGTTCTTCGTCTATAGGGTGTCACAGAAATCAGTTTTATGGCAACATGAAGTCATCGTCCCTGGTTTGACTGAGCTCCTTCAGAGACACTGAGGACACGTTGCTCTGCAGTTTTCACTTTCAAGGTAATTTCTTTTTACTGCTGCCTCTCAGCAAGCAGGTCCTTGGTTCAAACCCCGGTCCAGGGGCCTCCTGGGTGTAGTTTGCATGTTCTCTCCGTGCATGCGTGGGTTTTCTCCGGGTGCTCCGGTTTCCTCCCACAGACCAAAAACATGCATGTTAGGCTGATTGGTAACTCTAAATTGTCCCTAGGTGTGAGTGAAAGGTTGTTTGTCTCGTTTGTCTCTATGTGTCCATGCGATGGACTTGCGACCCGTCCAGGGTGTACCCCGCCCCTCGCACAGTGACTGCTGGACATGGGCACCAGCAACCCCCGTGACCCAAATTGGAATAAGCGGGTAAAGATAATGGATGGATGGATGTCATGAGGGAATTCACTTTGACTAGAGATATTATAAAAATACTTACTAATAGTAAAGGTTTAGTGTTCAAACTTGCCTGTTCAATCATTCTTCGAATTTCTTTTCAAACATGGATGGATGCAGAATGCTGCTTAAACCATCAATGTTCCCAGGTTGTTTAAACTCATTTTATCAGATGCAGTTAAAAATGACAAGGAAAATCATTCTAATTTTGTTAAAATTGTTTGAGAAATAGGAAGTTAGGGCAATTTTACAGGAAAAAAAAGACACAAATCCAATTCCTACTTACATTTTAATGAATCCTATACGTCAGATGTGTAGAATCAGTGGGATCTGGTTCAAATGCGTCAACTCACCTGTCCCAGTGTTTGTGGATTGTAACATACAATATTTACTTTGTTTCTAAATATATATATAATTATTTATTTATTTATTTGAGAAGATGCAAAGCCTTTATGCTAGAATTCTTTTGTGGCAGAAGCTTCCAGTTGATAGTAAACATCACAAATAACATGGACAATATAAATGTTATTTTTTGGTAATTAACTCTTCCACCCTCACACATACTACCGTAATGATTGTTATTAGGGATGCACGATATTATCGGCATGGTATTTGCTGACATTAGCGATAAAGTTAAATATCGGACATCGGCCATTCCATCAGAATAACTCACTGCTATAAAAGACGCTGTTTATATATATATGTATGTACTAGTGGTGTAATGGTACACGTAGGTGTATTGAACCGTTTCGGTACAGCATGTTCGGTTCGGTCCATGTGCGTACCGTTTCGGTTATTTTTTCACTCATTGAATTTTATTAGCGAGAAATCATGCGCTGTGGAACTAAAGTTCCTAAGCGTGTTTCAGCACGGCTCTATTTATAGTTGCAGTCTTGCAGCACGAGTAGCCATAGATATTAACACTAGATACAGCATTGACCGCTATCTCCTATTGGCGCTGACGAGTCGTAGGGCCGCCATCTTGGAACGGTCGACCGCTCCACTCAGTGTAACCTGTTTGACAGGTGCAATGAAGAATCTGCGTGTTTAATCAGTCAGAGCTAAATACTAAACTCATTCTCATTATTTTTTCCTCTGTAAATCTTAGGAGTACAGCCATTAAAGCTGAACGCATGGTTCAGTGTATTTAAATATTCTTGGTGGGGTTAACATTAACACTAATAAAATATTCTTATGACAAGTTTTACAATAATCACAGTCACTGATAAATTTTTATTAATATATCAATATTATATATACTGTATGT